GGAAGGCTTCCTCCCTTCTCTTCAGCCAGCTCGGTGCTGAAAGCACCTGGATCTTGCCCACCCAGCAGATGTTTCCACACCCTGGTGTTTCTTCCCCCCCCCTTCCTGATGTCCCCCCTCCCCACACCAGATTGCCCCCCCTCCCTCAGCAGATTGGCAGACAGCAAGCAACTAATCTGCCCTGCAGCTGGATTGCACCGTGGTTCCCTGCCAGCCCCCCCCCCCATTCGGAGACCGGGTGTTGCAGGGCGAGGAAAAGTTGGGAAAGGGCAAACATCTGGAGGGCGCCCGGTTGGGGAGCTGTTGCCAGGCGCAGTTCGCTCTGCCTCCGGTGTAGGGACGAACGCGCGTTCTCCCAGCTGACAGATGTGCGTCTGGAAGAACAGAAGGACGCGAGCGTCTAAAACAAACATAAATAAACCTAGCGGTGGCTACAATTCCTGGATCCGTCCCATCATTCTCACGGAAGAATAACTCTCGGGTGCAATTAGAGTCGCCGTCTTCCCCCCCCCCTCCCTTCCCTCTCAGAACGAGGTCATTTCGAGGGGTAACTCTCAGGACCCCCCCCCCAAGAGGGAGGGAGATCCAGAAAGACCCTCACAAATGAATCGCCCAGAAAGGGGTGTGTGTGTGGACCAACCGCAGCAGCACTCCTCAAATTTGCAGCTCGGGGGGGGGGCTCTTTCCCGCTGCGACACAGACATTCCGGCTTTCTCCGGACTGGCCAGGAGAAAAGCCCGGAGAGCGTCCGGCCTCGCGCGCCCGCTGGCCTTCGGGTGCTCTTTTTTAAAAAAAAAATATTCAGGCGTCTTTTCTAGAAAGACTTTGCCTCGGCTTGGGTCCAGGTGAAGCCCGCCTGGGGGGGTCGGAGGGGAAGGAAGGGGCAATCCGACACCTCTCCTCCCCCGCCGCTTTGTTTGGGGGGGGGCGGGAAGAACCCCCTTTTCCATCTCCCTCCCATCCTTCTCCTTGGCCCAAGCGCATTCTCTCTTTGAAGCCCGGTCTCCCGAATCGTCCCGCTCGGACCGTAGCAAACAATTTAATTAGAGGCCTTTTTTTTTCCTGGCCGGAGAAGAAAGAAGGGTGGGGAAAGCCTTGGTGTTGGGGCAGAGAGAGCACCTCTCCGCCCATTGAAAGGCGCTGATCCGAAAAGACAGAAGGGGGGGGGGGAGAGAAAAAGCGACTTGCTGGGGACCTTCTCCCCCATCCCTTTCACGCCATTCACACCCCCCCTCTTTCTCTCTCTCTCTCTCACACACACACACACACACTTTCTTTGAGACAAAACCCGCTCCTTGGAGAAACTAAGGAACTAAGGAAAGAACACACAGATACACACACACACACAGAGAGAGAGAGAGAGGGTCGCCCTTCATATTCCTCCCAAATTCCTTGAGTTCAAAGGGTCCGTTTGGAGAGGAGGGGGCATCAAAATCCAACCCACCCTTTGTTCGGCTTGGTATGTCAGGGAAATTATCTCCAAGGCCCCGCCAGCCAGCCAGCCAGGCAACCAACCAGCCAGCCAGCAGAAGTAGTGGGCAGGCAAGGGCCTGCTAGCCTCCTTCCTCCTCGCGTTTAGGGTTAACTCTCACCTCTGACCCCTTTAATCCCAAGGCCTAGGCCAACCTCCCAACTGCAGGCCAGCTTTGGAAAAGAGAAGAAGGGAGGGGAGAGAAAGAGATAAGACACACACACACACACACACACACACACACACACACACACAAGACAAAATATCCAAGCTTGAAATTGAAACCATTCCTAACTGGGATCTTTTCTCCCGTTGACCCCCCCACACCCCCCCCCCGCCCAATAATACCTCCCTGGTTCTTTTTCCGCCTTTGGCTCTCTTTGTGCCAACAGAGAAATGTGTGTGGATTACTATCGCTATGATTTAAAAGTATTAATCTTTCTAAAAAAAAAAAATGCAAACTGAATTCTGCACTGGTTGTTTTCCTTCCTGCCCCAATTACACACTGAAGCAAACACAAATAAATCCTTCCCCCCCCCCCAAGGAAAATTCTGGAAGGGAAAAAAAAAGAAAGAGGAAGAAAGAGGCCTGGGGGGGGAGGGGAGGAGAGAGACAGGGTTGTGTGGGATATTTGGTGAGTTTGGGGGGAGGGGGCAGAAAAGGGGCTCTAGGTTGAAGCCTTTGCAATCACCACAGGCCACGAAACTATCAGGAGGCATAAATGTTATCTTGTACAACAGTTCCAAGACTGAGGGTTTTTTTTTTTTTACAGGCCTATAACAGCGGACATTTGATGACCCACAAAAGAAAGACCCCCGCCCCTTTTCCCCTCCTTCAGATACACCCAAGTTATCCCACCATCCAAAAGCCACCCTTTTAGATGAACATAATTAAGTGTGATGTGATGTTTGTGCGTGTGCAATTATTGGGGCAAATCCATTTGGAAATTTCATTTGCCTTGTAAAAGCTCAATTAACGCTGGAGAAGACTGAGGGATTTCGCACTCTCCTTTTCCAGATCTGGGGTGGGAATACCGGAAAACCTGAATCTAACAAAAATAAAGGTGTGAACCTTTCGCCATTGGGACAATTTGCTTTCCCCGACTACTGTGACTGATTACCCCATCTCTCTCTCTCTCTCTCTCTCTCTCTCTGCCTCTCTCTCTCTCCCACACACACACACAGCCCCATCAGTTACTGCCCTAAAATTATCTTTTCAAAGAATCCTTTCCTTCAAAAAGAGGAAACCACTGACTAGAGAAAAGCGACTCTGTACCAATTGGAAATCTTAGCGTGAACTAACAGCGTCTGGCCCACCACTTCCCTTTGCTTCCCACCCACTGGCCGTTCCAGCAGGACCAGCGAGGTTTCCCACCGACCATTCTCCCCCTTTCCCTTCTCTACTTGGGGCACCAACCTCTGCTTACACAGGGAAAAGAAAGCCGCTGTATCTTGACTCGCTTTCAACCAGAGGAACCAAGGGAGGCAAATGTTGGGGGGGGGGGGTTCCCCGTGGACGACCTGGAAGGGAGGGGGGCTCCCGCAGCGGGGAGCCAGCGGCCGTTCTCGCGAGGCACCGCCGAACCCAAAACCTGGGTGCCTGCATTCCTACGACAAGTTAAGCTTGGTCGGTTCTTGCCTTCGCTTAAGCTTTTCGCGGGGGGGGGACAGGGGGCGCTCCCTTAGCCTTTGAAGTCCATTCGAACCGGAGAGCGGGTTACTTCACTAACCCGGAGGAGGAGGGGGGGGAGAGCGTGTTGTGTGAATGCAGCCAAAGGAGGGGGCACTAGGGGAGGAAAGGAAGCCAAAAAAAAAAAAAAAGACCTAGAATTTGAAGCTTCGGACTCCCCCCTCCCCCCCAGGCAGCTGCAATTTTAGGCTTTAAATGCAGTTTGTTATTGCTGGGTTGGTGTTTTTTTTTTAATCTACTCTCGTTTTCATCCAAACGCATAAGCCCTCTTTTTACCTTGAGATCTGTTTTTCATCTTTCTACAATACACATTTAATTTGGAAGCTTCTTTCCCCCCCCTTCCTCTTTCTCCTCTTCCATTGGGGGAGGGGTGTCTGCCTGTATGTGTGTCTGTGTGTCAGGGTGTGTGTGTGTGTGTGTGTGTGTTCTCAAAGTCTCGTCTTTCCAGCCCCAAACAAGGTGTAATCAGACGTTCTTCCTTCTAAGGAGTGAGAACAGCGACAGATCTTTTAACATTTGGGTGGGGGCTCTTTCCTTTCTCCCCCCCCTATTTTTTTAAAGGCTTACATTCTTCCACTACCGTGGAGAAACTCATCCCCCGACTGTGTGTGTATATTTATATAATTCCACCACCACCCCCTTTAAAAAAAATCTTAACGAGAAGAATACACAGGGGGGGGAACACGTTTCTTCCTAGACTAGGAAATATCTCACCCTTTCGTCTTTCTTCCCTTGTAATTTTTTCCCCCTTCTCTTCCTCTCTCTCTCTCTTCCCCCCCCCAACCTCCCCTTGCTTTTTTTTTTTTAAAAAAAAAAACAGTTTGCACAACCGCTTAGATAAACACCAAGAAGATACGTCTTCACAGCCTAAGGGAGGGAGGGGCAAAACAATAATCATAATAATAACAATTAAAAGCAATTTTTGCCAACCGCTGCCCAACTAAAGAAGAAGATGCAAGCGATTTGGGATCTTGAACAAAGCAAATATACTTTGGGTATGTTTAATTCTCGTTTTAAATCTCTTTTTCTTTCTATCTCTCCCTCCCCATTCCCCTTCCTTGCGACGCGGTTTTTTTGGGGGGGTGGGGTGGGGGAGTATGTCTCTCTTTCTCTACCTTTTTCTATATTATTATGGTTTATTATTATTCTGGGATGGGGGACGTGCGATTGTGTTGAGCTTTTTGTGTTGCACTCTGAAGCTTACTGCCTGCTAAGTCGGTATTATCCCACTCTGGGATTTGCCTTCCAAAGTCAACGCCCCCCCCCCCCGGAGCAGAGCAGAACAGAGTTGGGGACCTCTTTGCAAAAGGTGACGCGTGCTGGGGCGAGTTGGACGGACTTCTGCTCCCGACGTTACCCCGAGAAAGGAGTTGGTGCGCGGGCGTACTGTCGCGGGAAGGCTTCTCACTTAACGGGGACGGGCGGCGGGGATCAGCCCCTTCGCTTCTTGCAGACACTTACCGGCAGCCCACCTCCCCAACCCCACCGCCAACCGCGCGAGAAGGTTCGGGGAGCCGTTCCAAGGAACCGCCGGAGAGGTTGATGATAACGTGGGGTTTGAGCAAAGAGCTGACGAAGAGGAGCGCCTGGAGTTGGGGCGGGGGCGGGGGGCGGGTGGAGGGAACCCGAAGATAAGAATTTATCCCCCAGATTGTAACCACGTGCAGGTTAGCTGGGCTGGGTTGGGGGCTGTTGTTGTTGTTTTCCTTCCTTGCAGGAATAGCTGGATTGGATTTTGATTTCCCCCCTCCCTCAGCAAGTCAGTCGTTCCCCCCCACCCCAGCCGACCCCCTTGGGCGCTCACAGTTTCTGATAAAAATCAATAAATAGCGGTACTCACCGTCGCCAGGAGGAATCCGTGGTTGGGTCCACGATTCGGGCGCAAAGTTTTGTTTGGCCCCGTCCAACTCTTGAGTGTGTGTGTGTGTTTGGGCGCGCGCGCGCGTGTGTGTTGGGCGCGCGTATGCGCGCTGCGTGGAACTGGGGGGGGGGATTAAAAATCATCACGCCGCCGGTATGGTTTTTTAAAAAAATAAATAAATAGGCCTTCGGGGGGGGGAAAAAAGACCCCCTGCCCTGCAGCCAGAAACACACTCTCATCTTCGCCCCCTTGCCTGTAAAAGGAAAAGGGGGGGGGAATATCCCCGAACTCATCCCTTCTCACCCCTCGCCCCTCCCTTGAAAAGAAAGGCTTTTCCCGGAAGCTGAAGAAGCTCGGTCGAAGTCCGGAGGTCAGCTCAACCTGCCTGGATAAATTCGACGTCCGGGGAGATGGGGGGGGGAGGCGCAAAGAAACCAAGGAGATGTTTAAAAACTCTAGAAGTTTGGCCGAGGCTTCTCTGCCCGCCTCACCCTGCTGCCCCCGTCCTCCTAGTTAGCCTGCCTCTCTGTGCAAAGCCCCCCCCCCCGTCGCCGCCGCCCAACAAGTACCTTTTACTTTAAGAGCATTTCTTTGAAAGTTGACTTGTTTTTTTTAATGCCGGTGACAGACTTTCGCTAGGGGGCAGGCGCATACTGTACTTCTGGTGTCTCTCAGCCAGCTTCTCTGCCCCCCCCCCCGTTTCTAGCCTTTCTCTTTCCCTCTTCTCTCCCTCCCTCCCTCCTTCTCTCTCTCCCTCCTTCTCTCTCTCCTTCTCCGGCGCGCTCTTTCTCTACCGCAGTCCTTCTCGCTCTCCGCTAGCATATGTTCTAATTTCGCACTGTAAATTCTCCAAAAGGTCCCGCTTTTGACAGCCCCTGGGGCTTTTTCGAAGTGCCACTAGCCCGGTGGTTAAAAATGACGTGGACTTGAAAGATCAGAAGAACGCCGCCTGGGCCACTTGCACCCCTTCGAGGGTCTCCGGGTGGAGCTGGGAGGGAAAGGGAACGGCCGGAGGGGCAAGGGTGATCGGCTCGCCTTCCTCCAGCGGGAGCTGCCCAAAAGATCCGCCGAGAAAAGAGCGGACCGCTCCGATTTGCCACCCACATGCAGGCCGGCAGGGGAGTGAAAGAAGGAGAAAAGGCCCAAAACAAAGGGAAAGAGATTTCCCCATTCTCAACTTTTTCTTTCCTTTCTTTCTTTCTTTCTTTCTTTCTTTCTTTCTTTCTTTCTTTCCTTCTTTCTTTCTTTCTTTCTCTCTCTCTCTCTCTCTCTCTCTCTCTCTCTCTCTTTCTTTCTTTCTCTTTTTCTTTCTCTTTCTTTCTTTCTTTCTTTCTTTCTTTCTTTCTTTCTTTCTTTCTTTCTTTCTTTCTTTCTTTCTGCTTTGCTCCCCTCCTTTCTCCTGCCTCTCGCCCTCTCCCCATTTCATCGTGGTTTGGTTTGCTTTCAGATGCCCCATTTCTCCGGGACTGAACCCCAGTTTTCCAAAGGGGCAGATGCTGTACACTTGTTCTTTACTCCAACTGCTGGCGTCCTCAGAGTTAGCATTAGACCGCCTTTCAGCACATCCTCACGGTGAAATGGGAAAGCACGGGTCCCGGCTACGAATCCAGAGCTTTCTTCCTTGCAGTGGACAGCCCTCGAGAACGCGGCAGGAGCCGGCCCTCGTGGGTCCTAGCTAGCTGAGCAGCGAGTCGCCCCTGGCTTGCGCGCTCGGACGGCTCTCCTTTCCCACGCGACGCGCGGGCTACCTACGGCTAATCCTAACCCTCTAGCCAGGTACTCCCGCCCGCCGCTGCGACCCGGCCAACATCCACGTCCGCCCGCCCGCCCGTTTGCAACAGCGACGGCGCTTTGGAAGAGAAGGGAAAGGGATCTGCGCTCCGCCACTGGATCTGCTTGGCAGCTCCCTCTTCTCCGCGTCCCCTTTCCGCGGCGTTTGCGTTCCCGCGCGGGTCCAGAAAAACTCTGCCTGAGACAAAGCCGGCCCCGCCGTCTTTCTCTTCGCCGGTCTCTCTCGGGTCGCCTTTGTGCTGGGGGGGGGGGAGAGATCTGAGATCCTCTGGGTCTCTTGTTCATTTTCCCCCTGCTGGCTTCTCGGGGCTGATCTTGCCTGCAAGAAGTCGCGCAGGAGGAACCGAGGCCCCCCTTCCCTGCAGAGGCTGCGAGAGAGCGGGGGGATCGGTCTCCCTCCCCAGCTCGGTTCCACTGTAGACTTTCCATTGGCCGGCAACAGGTTCACCTGGCGACCGAAGTGAACCGGCTGGGTGAGTCGTCGGCCCTGGCTATTCCTTAACCCAGGCGCTCTGGGTTGGCCCCGGCCATGCCCCCCGCGTACAAGGTTACAACAGCTAGCCCCGCTTAGGGCCCAGCCGTTAATCTCTCTCTCTCTCTCTCTCTCTCTCTCTGACCTGCTTTAGCTTGTTGTGTGAACGCGACCTGTGTTACACAGGGAAGCCAGGCGTGTTTCTTAGCGCGGAGCGGTCGGGAAACAGGGCCAAGCGCTAGGTCGCGGCCACCCGAAGGGCACCGGAGAGAGGGAGACCTTCCAACCGGCCCCACCCTGAGGACAGAGGGGGCTCTTCACCCTCGCCTCGAAATTGATCCGACGAAGGGGCAGGAGCGACGGGCTTTTCAAACTGGGCCAGAAGTGGACCGCGGGCCATATTTCCATTTTCCTGCCCTTCCTCCTCACACCTGCGAGCTTTACCAACCACCTTTCTTTCTGCTACCCCCTCCGCCTCCCACCCACCCCAAAAAAGTGTATTGTGAATAGAGGTAGTGGCTGCATAGGGACCAATGCGGAATGTCGTTGCGGGACCCCCGCACTTTGAGATTTTTGTTGCTCTCTTCGAATTGTGCGTGGCTGAACTCCGCTTCTCTAAAATAACACTTACATGTATAGTATATTCAGTATACATAAACACACGGAGAGAGAAATACATTCACGCAAATTGCTATACGTATTTGTGTGTGTGTGTGTGTGTGTGTGTGTGTACATATCCATCACACCCACCCGCATCCATCTACGCCGCATTGTACAGATTATATATTTGTACGGGTGTCCGTCCTCTCTTTTCCCATCTAACGCTAACCCTATTGAGACTTTTTCATTTACTTATTCGTTTGCCTTCTCGGAAAAGGTGTTATTTCTTTGCCCGGGATTGATAAGCTTTATGCCTTCTTAGGTCTGGATTTCCAGGGATGTGAGGTTTGAACGTGTGAGGTTTGAACGGTTCCCTGCAGCTCAAGACTATAAAATAAAAACTAATTGGGTTGTTCTGGACACCCCTCACCACGTTGGGGTGTTTCCTTTTGTTTGTTCTGGATTGTTGTGGCGAACTAAATCAAGGAGACTTTGGTTAGGGGGAAGAAATTGAATCCTGTGAACAGGGGGCACCTCTGAACCCACCCACCCCTTCCGTGGTTTTTAATGTGTTCTCTTGGAGTAAAATCCTGCTTTGTCCTATTCCCCCCCCCCTTTCTGTTCTCCTTGCCTTGGCCCTGGAAAAGTACCTGGGTAAGAAGCCTCCACTCTTGGGAGACACAACGGCACCCTGAAGTGGGTGCATGCATTTTCTTTCTAAGGTTTTCTTATTTAGGTGTGAAACGTGGAGCAAAAGTCATAAAAGTGGGAGACAATCATCATCGTCCATGGCAGGGACCCCAAGGGAACAATGAAGTTTAAGGGTCACCCTTTTAAAGTTGACCATCACCTCCTCTCTCTGATTCTCTCTGGGTTAAGCTGATTGATGCCTGCCCCATGTAAGGGCCAGCCAGGTTGCGAGAGGCTAGGTCTGTACCTTTAGGGTAGGATCAGTCTGTCCCAGAATTAAGGGAAGCAGAGGTTTAACCTGGAGGTAGGATTTTGTAAATGTTCCGCTTGGAAATCCAGTTTTAACTGCTTGGCTCAGACGGTGAGATCAAGTCAGGCTTTTAAGTCTGTGCAAACCGCAAGATCAGCATGAGAATATTATTAGAGAGACTGTAAAGTGTTTGGACTGATAAAGAGGTCAGGCCGTGTTGTTATTATTATGGTGGGTTGCATTATTATTATCATTATCCTGGGAGATGCCAGGTGATTAAAAGTTCACTCCCTGTACCTGTAGAACTTTAAGCCGCAAAGGATCTTAACGGGTATTTCAGCACTGAAGTGATCTTAGTTGTGCAAAATTTTGATTCAAATCTTTTGCCCAGGTATCTTGAATTCCCTCTGTAGCCCAAATGGGATTATCCTTTCCCCCCCCCCACAAACACACACAATATTCCCCAAATTTCCCATCTCCCCCCCCCCATTCAGCCTCAAGAATAGTGGCCCATAAAGAACAGGGTAACTCTCCTGCAAATAGCTCAGCCTTTCAGAAGGCGACCTCACAACAGAGTCCAGAAAGTCCTGTTATCTTACAAAAGAGGGTTGCAAATTTGTGTGCACGCAGGCACCCCTGCACACAGACACAACACCTGCATGGAATTCCAGCTTCAACACCAAGTTCATTTTTTTTATACAAAACAAACCGGTCGCCATAAAGAAGGATAATGTGAATAGTAGTAATAATAATAATAATAATAATAATAATAATAATAATAATAATAATAATAATAATAATAATAATAATAATAATAATAATAATAACGATATCTGTAATACCATCAAACATCCACATCTGCCTATCGCAGGTCCTGGTTAAGGACTCGATAGGTAGACAAAAATGCCAAATCCAGTCTGAACATCTGGCTGACTGTGCGATGATCCATAATAATAATAATAATAATAATAATAATAATAATAATAATAATAATAATAATAATAATGCATCCTCCTGATCTTACTATCCTCTCTCTGAGTTCCAAAAATCCCTCTTTAAAGAATTAGGAAGAGGGGAAAAAGGAGTGAAGGGCTGGAAAATGGGGGGGGGAGGAAGCCAAAGTCAGACAAACAGACGGGGACGGCGGGGGATGGAAAAGCGACCGGGGGGTGGGGGGTGGGGAGGAGAAGGCGGAAAAGAGAGAGAAGTGAGTGATGGGTCGAACGGGACTCGCGCTAGGACCGCGCGGACTTCCGCCGGGCTCCCGCCATCCCAGCCCTGCACAAGGCTAAACTGCCCAATGAGGGGCGAGGGGAGGTCCGCGAGCTTTTGACCAGTCAAAGGCAGCCTCTCGCCTTATAAGGCGAGCGGTCGCCATGGCAACGTGTGCTAAGTTGCAGCCGCGGTGTCAAAGTTCACTATATAGAGAGCTGGGAGAGCGGAGCGCGGAGAAAAGCCTCCGCTGCTCGCCCCAGCCGGGCTCCGATAAATCGCATTCAGGCCTTTCACCCCCCCCCCACCCTCTCCCGCCTCTCCTCCTCTCCCGCATCCCTGGGATTCTCGCCTCCCCCCCCCTTCTTCTCTCTCTCTCTCTTTCTTTCTCTCTTTCTCTTCTTTTTGTTCTTCTTCCCCTTCCCCCCTCCCCTTTGATCATCATTACGAGTGTTATCGTTATTATTATTATTATTATTTTGGGTTTACACCGCCGTTATCACTAACTGCCCTTAGCTCTCAGGGTGCCTGTGCAATCGCCCCCCCCCCGTCTCTCTCTGTCTTTCTGCCCCCTCCCCGCTCCTCTTTTGCAATCGCTGCTCCTGAAACCTCTTGTCTTCCTGCTCTCTTTCTCTCCGCCTCCCCCCCCCCCTCCCACCACCACCCCACCACTTCCCCACCCCGCGATTCCTACTTTCACATGCATGCCAAACCCCGGTGCAGAGAGAGAGAGAGAGAGAGAGAGAGATTTGCCCTTGCTATTTATTATTAACCCCCCCTCTTCCCCCCCCCTCTGGGGCGCTCTCCCCCTCCCCCCGCCCTCAGCCCCGCGTCCAGTCCCCTCGCCTCTTGCTCCTGCCGCCTTTTTATCGCTCTCTCCGGCTGGGGGCTCCTAAGCCTGGAGAGAGTTCACGCCGGTTGCCCCCCTCGCCGGCTGGCTGGCTGGCTGGCTCGCTCTCCCTCCCTCCCCCGATCCTCCCTCCTCCTCCTCACTCCTCCTCCTCCTCCTCCTGCAGCCCCGCCGCCTCCCTCCCCCCTTCCCTCTCCTCCTCCTCCCCTTATCGCCCCATGTGTTGTGCGAGGAAGCAGATTTGCTAAAGAGACCCACTTGCGAAAGAAACGGGAGTAGCATAAGGCGCGGGCAAGCGGCGGCGGCGACGACAGCAGCGGCGGCCACGGCGGCAGCAGCAGCAGCAGGGAAAGGAGGAGGAGGAGGAGGAGAAGAGGAGGAGGAGGAAAGGGGAAGGAGAGCCGGAGTAGCCGCAGCCGCGGAGGAAAAAGAGGAGGAGGAAAGAAAAAGAGGCGAGGAAAAAGGAAAGAAAGAAGAACTGGGAGGAGGAGAAAGAAAAGAGAAGAAGAAGGGAAGCAGCCGACGGCCCAAGAGGAGCGAAGCCGAGCGCAGGAGAGAAGACGCCGGGAGAGACTTCCGATTTGGAGGGAGGGAGGAAGAGGGGGTGCGTGTGTGTGTGTGTGTGTGCCTGGGAGCGCGCGCGGGTGCGTGAGCGCGTGGAGGGTGCGTGTGTGAGTGGGAGTGCGCGCGCGTGTGGTTTTTGTTTGGCTCCTTCCATCTCCCCCCCCCCGTCTCCCTCTCGCTCCCCCCCCTCTCTCCTCCTCCTCCTCCTCCTCCTCCTTCTTCCCCGGTTGATGTTTCTACAGCTTCGCCAAACTCCGAGCGGGGCATCTGATCGAAACCCCGCCAGGAGCAGGAACCAGGCCGGGTCCGCGGGCCGGCGTGCCGAGCGTGGGATCTTCCGGGGCTCGCCTGCGCCTCCTGCGAGCAGCTCCGGGCTTTCTCCCGGCTTGCTTTCCATGGCTTTTCTGAATGGCTGACTGCGGGCTTGGCTGGATCTGGCCCCCAGACCCCCGCCTCTGTTCTTGCAACTCGGGTCGGCTTCAAGAGAGAGGGAGGGAGGGAGGGAGGGACCTTTGAAGGGGATCGCTCGCGCGCTCTCTCTCTTTCTCTCTCTCTCTCTCCAGCCGCCCCCCTTTTGTAATTTTTTTTTTACTTTTCTTCCTCTTTTGCTAACAGACAATCTCCCTCCTCGTCGCCTCTCTCTCTCTTTTTTTTCCCCTTTTCCTTTTTTCCCCCCTCTCGTCCGCTTTCCCCTTTTCCTTCCTCAACCCACTTTCCGGTGCCTGTCCGCCGCGTGCTTGCGTGTGTGTGTGTGTGTGTGTGTGTGCTTCCCGCATTTATTGACTCTTTTGCAATTGCACGGGGGAGCCGTACCACCTTTTCTACCACTCCCCCCTCCACCGAAAGCATTAAATTAAAACTGAACGAAAGGACCGGCAAAGCGGGGGGAGGGGGGAGAGCACCCAACGAGCGAGCGAAAGGGGGAAATTAACAGAAAACCACCTCCGCCGCCGATTACAACGCGCCCCTTTCTACTCCAGAGCAACTTCCAGCCAAGCAAATAAGAATAACTTGCCAGCGTGAACTGCGAGAGGAAAAAGGCCGGAGGGGGAACAAATAAACTGAAATAAAAGTGGACCCCCTTCCTCTTTAGACCGGCACAGCTCGCCCCGGCTCCAACGGCAGGCGCAACCGGCCGGAGACGCGGATCCGGCGGCCACAGCAAGCGACGGGGGGGCGCGCGATTTGGCCACGGTGTCCCTTAGATATGGCAATGGTAGTGGGCGCCTGGCGAGACCCGCAGGACGATGTGACCGGCCCGCAAGGAACGCAGCCTTCGCAAGCGCCCCCCGTGCCGGGACCCCCGACGGGCGCCCCCCACACCCCGCAGACACCGGGCCAAGGAGGGCCCCCCAGCACCCCGGTGCAGACCAACCCGGGCAGCCAGCAAACTCAAGGGGAGAAGCAGCAGCAGCAGCAGCACATCGAATGCGTGGTGTGCGGGGATAAGTCCAGCGGCAAACACTACGGGCAATTTACGTGTGAAGGCTGCAAGAGTTTCTTCAAGCGCAGCGTCCGGAGGAACCTTAGCTACACGTGCCGCGCGAACCGGAACTGCCCCATTGACCAGCATCACCGCAACCAGTGCCAATATTGTCGCCTCAAGAAATGCCTGAAGGTTGGCATGAGACGGGAAGGTATTGGAATTTCATTTGTTTTCCATTTCTCACCCGTCGGCGGGGAGGGAGAGTCGAGGCGCGGGGAGAACAGCCTCCTCCGGATAAGCAGGACCCACGAACCTGAAATCCAGCCTGCGGAGGACTGGCTCCTTGGTTTTTTTATTTTATTTTAATTTTTTTGGTAAAGTATGTTTTCTTTTGGCGGACCAAGTCCAGGTGCGGGCAGTACTTTTCTTTCATTTCTTTCCTTTCTCTTTCTTTTCTTTTTTTTAAAGCCCTGGTCTGGGTTTGATTGTTCCCCTGAGTTGTGGGAGGAAAGGAGGCGAGGGGAGAAAACCGCCTCGAGTCTCTAGATTATTTGGGGGGATGGAAGGACGAAAATGGCTTTGGTTAGACTCCCGGCCCTAAGTCAAAGCAACTTTTCTCTCTTCGCGCTCTCCTCCCGCTTCCCACCCTCCTCGAAATGGGTCGGGGGGGTCTCCCGGAGCTGGGACAGATCCCGAATGGATCCCCCCGGGAAGGAAAGCAGTAAAAAAAAAAAAAGGCTGAAAGGGTGCGGGGGGGGGAGGTCAGCCTCCCCAACACAGGAGAAGGGAAGCTCCAGGCAATCTCAGCTGCGTAAACTTCTTTCCCTTGTTCTCTCTCGCCGCCTCTCCCCCCCCCCCCGGCCTCCAGCCTCCTTCCTTTTCGCCCTTGCTCTGTAAATAACCCTATATAACCCATAAATAAATCCCCGATCGATCGATCCTTTCGCCGGAGCTTCCCGATCGGAATTCCGGCAGACTCCGGCCGGGTTTTTCTCGGCTCCCCGCGAGTCTCGGAGAGCCTCGCTCCTCTCCTTCCACGAGGTCCTTTCGGCCTTCGGGAAATGACAATAAAAAAAAAAAACGCTCCCCCGCTTAGAGAGAAGCTCATTTTTGTGTGTCTGCTTCGGAGGCGTTGAGAAGACACAGGCGCGGGGAAAGCGGGGTGGGTGGGTGGGGGGCCGCGAAGCCCTGGAAGGAAAGCAGACCTCGGAAGCGTCGGAAGCCTAAAGGGGGGGGGTCCAGCAGCAGAGATCCCTTTATTTTTTATTTTTATTCTCTTTTTTTTTTTTTGCGCAAGATGGAGCGAGCGCCGCGGCGGAGAAACTCGGCGAGCGAAAGGGCGAGAGAGCCGCGGCTTCTGCTTAATGGCGTAGCGCGCCTCTCCGCCCTCTCCAGCCGCCCCCGGTTGAATGTTTTGGGGGCTGAAAGCCGCTTTCTCACTTGAGGGGGGGGTCTCGGAGGCTTTGGGGGAAGCATTAGGGGGTCAGCTCGCAGGCAAGCGCCCCCCTGCTTAGCCTGCCTCGAATCGGCTTTCTTGGCGGTGAATCTTTGCTTCTTTCATTTTCTCTGTCTCTCTCTGTCTCTCTGTCACCACCACGTAAATTTATGAACAAAACCCAAGGCCCGCTTTCTGCAGAGGAGAAAATCCCCCAGCTTTCCAGCAGCCCCCCCCCCCGCTTCCTCTCGCCCCCGGCTGGGACAAGGGAGAAAATACAACAATGGGCTCTGGAGGATCTCTTATTTTCTTCCTAGCCCGCCGGCAGCGTTTAGTTTATTGTATTTATTTTGCTTTCTTTTTTTCCTCCGGCCTGTTTCGAGAAAAGAGGGAGTGGGAAGCCGCGCTGGAGATGGCTCGCGCTCTCCCTTTCTTTCTCTTTCTTTTTTTCTTTCTTTCCCTATCTGTCTATCCGCCTCTTGGCCTGGCTGATTTTTTTTCCCCTTTGTAGAGGTTTTTGTGTTATTATTATTATTTTAAAAAAAGAAGGGCAGGCAAAGGGCTGCTATGAAGGACAAGGCCGAGAAGGATTCAGAAGAAGCCAGGCGGTTTGGAAACCTGGGACAATTTCAGGCCAGGCTTCCGTTTCCAAACAGCTTCTGCTGGGGTCTTGAGGAGGGAGGGGCTCATCCTTTTAGCATTGCACCCCCCACGGCTGAACCCTCAAAATCCTTAGTCCCCTTTCCACGTCCAGATCTCCCCTCCCCCCCCAACTATCACACAAATATGCAAGGTCTCTACTTCCAGCCGGTGCAAAAGGGGTCAGTGTCTTGACCTTCCCAGGTCCCTTTGATTCCCTCCTCCCCCCCCCTTCTCCCTCCTGCTGCCCCCTCCCCAGAAAGCCAGCCAGCTGTAGTTCTGCTAGCACCACCATCCCCACCGTCCCCCATCCCCTCCAGCCTTCCCTAGCAATGCAGGTATTAATTGCTGTAGTTTCTTTTTTATTCACTGCAGCCGTCCAGAGGGGCAGAATGCCACCCACACAGCCGACCCACGGCCAGTTCGCCTTAACCAACGGGGACCCGCTGAACTGCCACTCGTACCTCTCCGGATATATTTCTCTCTTGCTGCGGGCAGAGCCTTACCCGACCTCTCGCTTCGGCAGCCAGTGCATGCAGCCCAACAACATTATGGGGATCGAGAACATTTGCGAGCTGGCCGCCCGGATGCTTTTCAGCGCGGTGGAATGGGCTCGGAACATTCCTTTCTTCCCCGACCTGCAGATCACCGACCAGGTAGCCCTCCTGAGGCTCACCTGGAGCGAATTGTTTGTCCTCAACGCCGCCCAGTGCTCCATGCCTCTCCACGTCGCCCCGCTCTTGGCAGCCGCCGGCCTCCACGCCTCGCCCATGTCCGCCGACCGCGTGGTCGCCTTTATGGACCACATACGCATTTTCCAGGAGCAGGTGGAGAAGCTCAAAGCCCTGCACGTGGACTCGGCGGAATACAGCTGCTTGAAGGCGATTGTCCTCTTCACCTCAGGTAGGGGGGGGCTCTGTTGGGTTGGGGTGGAGGGGGGTAGGCTGCCTCTGCCTTGGGGGGAGGCAGTGGGAGTCCGGCCTCAGAAACCAGCCTTCTCCTCACCACCATCACCACCATCTTTTTCTTTCCCTTCTGTCTCTCGGGTTTTCCTGGAAGAAGGGGGGTGAGCTCTCTGGGGCGTTTTGTTGTGGGCTTGGTTGGCTTTTGGGGCTGGGGAGAGAGAGACAGAGGGATTAGAGCTGTGGTTTGCCTGGGAGGCATATCCTGCCCTCTCTGTGTCAGCTGTGCAGGCCTAAGGTTAAAGTTGAGAAACTTAAAGAGAAATATTAAAAAGAAGCCAAGAAACTATAGGTTGCTAAGAGTAGGAGAGTGGATAAATTGTGTGGGGGGGGGGAATGAGAGGGGACGTTTTGTTTTAAGGGAGCCCTTCTGATTGCTGTGAATAGGAAGTGTGTGTCTGTGTCTGTCAGTGTGTGGACATTACTCTCTAGAGTTGTTCCACTGAGTTCAGGGGGATTCTTCTGGCTTTTGTGTCAGTGGACAGAACAGCCCAGCTTCGCATTTTGAGACCACTGAAAGACAGCAAACTGCTAAATGACAATGGTCAGCTTAATGAAAAACGAACAATAAAGAAACTTGCTTCAATAAAAAATAAATAAACGAAGATCGCCAAGCCAGGAGATAGCCCGCTGAGCTTCATAATAATAACAACCACCATCATCAACTAGAATAAGCAAACTTGATCTGATCCTAGACGTGGTTAGAGTAGATAATCTGCACTGTTAAAATGGTTGGCCTACTAGAAGTGCCTAAACAATGACAGGTTTTGCCCTTCCTTTAGAAAATATGTGAAATGTTAAAATGTAAGGCATGTCTCTACGGCAGGCATATTTAAAATGCTGTTTCCCAAAGCACAGCTTACTATTCATCCGAAACTTCCTAACTATATTTTTTCATCCATAACTGCAATAAAATATAAGGCCACTATCATTCAGAAATTGCAGAATCCACGGGTCCTCCCTCTCTCCATTTTAACCAGTGATAAAAACAGAAAATAAGACATTTGAACCATCAAACATGGAGGAAAAAAATCTAATTAGGGAGAGAATATATTTCTGTGTCAACTTTCTCCTATGTAAAATAGTGCTACAGTTATAAAGCAATAATGGAAGGCATGATGAAATCTAATAAGCCATGGTTCATCTGGTTGAGTAAGACGTCTGAGGTTAACTCTGGAGGTGAAAAATTTCAAATTGTGTCTGTCTTTTATACTACACGGAGTAATATAATAACAATTCATGAGATCAGGTCTCTAATGTTTACCTGATAGTCAAGAGAAAGTAGTCAGATCTTAAAATTTGTACTTCTTTCCTAAATAATAAATAATCCTGGAAAAATGTTCACTCTATATAAATGCAGACAAGGCTTGTGAAATGCTCATATATAGAAATAAGCATACTGTCAGGAAACTGGCCTAGCTAAGTGCAGTTTATATGAGAAAATAAAGTCTCACAATTCAGTTTTTGTTGTGTTAAGAGTGATCTGGGGGGAAACCAAGTGCCTTTCTGGACTTTGTCCAAAATTTAGGTCATGACCTGAACTTCCTTTTATATATTATTGCTTTCCATAATTGCATTTTTCCCCCTGTTCAAATCTTCCTTCCCCACCCAAATCATTTGAGCTTCAAATGTAGCTGGGTGTCAGAAACAATTCTAGAAATGAAACCTGTATGTTTGTGTGTGTGTGTGTGTGTGTGTGTGTGATAGTGTGTTTGTGAAGTTAGTGTCTCTTTGTACCTGAGTGTGGTTTAAAAGAGGAAGAATTTATTAGGGCTTTCCCTTCAAACTCTACCTTTCTCTTCTCCAAAAATTGACTTCAAAGAAATTTATCTTCTGCATTTATGATTATGATTGCAATTAGTGCTATTAATATTGTTCCCCTTTCCGGGAAACACTTCAAGGCACGGTTGCCCTTAAAGTGCAAAATTTATGACTGTTTGCAAAATGCGGATCTGTATGTAAATTGCCTTTCCAAGGTAGATAAAACTTGTTATCTGATTTTGTGGAGTTATAAAACCAGGAGGGGACGGAAACGGATGCGGGACTGACCAATTCAGATGCCCATATATACCGCAGGGCCTGGCATGTATTTGAAAGCCCGCAAAGAGGCATCTGATTTTTTTTTCCTCTTTCTTTTTTTCTTTCTCTCTGTCCTTTTTTCCCTGGGCCTTTTCTATAGATCCTGGGCAGGGATTCTAATGTCTTTCAAAATATGCATGCGTTGGTGCATTACCCAGCCAGCTAAGGTCACAACTTGAGTTAAGGCAGCTTTTGATTAAAAGGGCTTTTCTTGTATTTTAGCTTGTCAGATGGGGAACCGTATTTATTTTATTTTTATATATTATATGTGGCGGCTGTATTTGTGTGTGAGTGTGTGTGTGTTAAAGCCAGCAAGAGGGGAAGAGGGAGAAAACAGCTCTAATGAAGAGAGAGATCAGATTCTGCTTGGCTGCCCTTGAATAAGCTAAACTGACAAGATCAGTTTTAAAGGACCACTTAAATCACTTTCAAAGATGGAGGGGAAACTGCGGTATCACTTTTAGGTGGAATCACTTTTCTTTCTTTCTTTCTTTCTTTCTTTCTTTCTTTCTTTCTTTCTTTCTTTCTTTCTCTGTCTGTCTGTCTGTCTTCCTTTCTGCCTTTCTTTCTTGGCGCTGCAGGGCTCAATTCTCTGGAGCTGAACAGACCTAATTTCTGAATCTACCTTCTTTAAAACTCTCTCCTATTCTGTCGGTCAGGTCTTGCATCATTTATTTTTCCCAATATGGTTTTTTTGGGGGGGGGGGAGAGAACACCTTCCTTTTTCGCAACACCATGCAAAAAAATTAAAAATCTCTGCAGGTTTGGGGAGAGGGTGACAGACTCTCACCCACTCCCCCCCCCCCAAATTTCAGAATGGAGGGGGCAATTAAGACAGAAACCTAGGCATCCTGGGGGGGGGAGGGATTCAGCACATGCTTAGCATGCTGTCTTCCTCAATCAAGCACACACACACAGAGACAGACAGACAGACATCAAAGAAAACTCCTTGTGTTTGTGTGTGGAAGGGTGCAAGGGCTGGGAACCTCCACGGAGGTGCAGAGGACCTGGTTGCCGAGCTGAGCTGGAACTCCGGTCCAGAGAAAGTCTGAAGGCCTTGGCCTAAACCTCTTCTATCAGGGGGTGTCAGATGACCAATTTTGAACAGGAGCGTCCACTATTTTACTGCAGTGCTTGCATCGGTGGCAAGGATGGGTCTGTGTGTCCATGTGTAAAAAAAAAAAAAAAGCACGTCTTATTTAACACTGATGATTCCCTCTTCTTTCTCTTTGACACCCACTCCCCTTTCTTCTAGATGCGTGTGGTCTATCGGACGTAGCGCATGTTGAAAGTTTACAGGAGAAGTCCCAATGCGCCCTGGAGGAGTACGTGAGGAGTCAGTATCCTAACCAGCCCACCCGTTTTGGGAAACTGTTGTTACGCCTCCCTTCTCTTCGCACGGTCTCTTCCTCGGTCATAGAGCAATTGTTTTTCGTCCGTTTGGTAGGTAAAACCCCCATAGAGACCCTTATCAGAGATATGCTACTATCCGGAAGCAGTTTTAACTGGCCGTATATGGCCATCCAGTAAAGGAGAAAAAAAAAAGGGGGGGGGAAATAATATGTTGGCGAGAGGAGAAAAAAAAATAATAATTCCACAGATCAGAAAATTGGACAAAGCAAAACAAAACAAAACAACAAAAAAAATGGAAAATTTGGAACAGAGGAATGGAGAGTGACATTGGGTCTGGCGGTTGTGTAAACGTCCTTCAGTTAAGCGAGAATGTCACATCTTGGCTAAAAAAGAAGAGAGGAGAATAATTTGAATGGACTATGGATTTTTTTAAAAAAAAGAGAGACTTGTTCAATGGACTTTTTACACAATGCATTAAAATTCCCTTGTCTTTCACAAGTTACTATTTCTATCTTTCTCTCTGTCTTGAACAAAATTATTTTTCTTTCTTTCTTTCTTTCTTTCTTTCTTTCTTTCTTTCTTTCTTTCTTTCTTTTGAGGGGGTGTTAAAACTTCGAAATGCAATCTCTCAAAGTGCATTTTTAAACAAGCAAACCTGTAGAAAATTAACATAATGGGAAAAATTCTCTTTCTCCCCCCCCCCCCAGTCTCTCTCTGTCTCTCTCTCTCTCCAAATTATTGATTTGTCCAACATTGTCTGTGTACACCTATAGGATTTTGTTTTGGTTTTTTTTTTAAAAAAAAAAAAAAATTCTGGTTCCAAACCAGTTTATTCTGTGGTTCTATAATAATTTTGATATAATCTTGGTTTCATTTTTCTTTTCTTTTTAAAGAACTGTGTATCCTTTAAAAAGTATATGTTCTGAAAGAATTAAAACTGTCTTGGAAAGGTTTCTGAGAAGAACATAAAATTGGGAATAAAGACACCCCCACCCCAAAATAATTCTAGAAAGATGGAAGCGCACTTAAATCCGGTCAGCCAAAAATTTAGCTTCAAGCTACAGCAACTATAATTATAGCTTTTTTTAAAGTGAACCACGATCAACCTGCCTCTAGCCTGTCTGCTGGGAGATGTATGTGTATATATATGTGTGTGCATGTGTGTTATGTATATACAATGCACACATATATACACACACAAAAACACATAAATGCATATATGGCAAAATATGGATTTTAGAAGGGAATTGTGTATTTTTTTGGAGGGAGATTGTGTGTGTCCAAGACACAAGATGATTTTGGTAAAAACATGCATACATATATGTACACAGAAAATCACAGAGAGACTCATCACAAAGTTACCTTTTTTGTAATTTGAATGAAATTGGGTTCCGCCTAGTTGTCCTAAATTGTTTCTGAGTTCCTCTATCTGTTTGTATATTTGCAAGCTCTTTGTATTATACTTGTTGATATTTTCCCTTTTTTTAAAGAAAAAGAAAAAAACCCATTGAATTCAGCATGACAAAAAAAAATAACACTACTGTTGGCACTTATAGATAATGTGGTTGATTCAGTACCTTAGAGTTTACAGTTTTTTGTGTTTTAAAGAAAAAAAACTGAAGGTTTTTTTTTAAGTGCAACATTTCTGTATACTGTAAAAGTTATAATAACTGAAAACTGTTTGGTCCAGTCTTTGTGTGTTATATTCCAAGGAAAAAAATTGAAAGTATTCAGAAATTAAAATATTATTTGATATCTGACCATTTGTATGACTCTCCTAACTGTCCTGGTGGGGAAGTAAGCATTTGTGGGTGGTTTGTGTATGCCACTGTTTTTCTTCTCTTTATATACTTCAGATTACTTAGACCTTGTCAAAAATCAGTGTGATAAAGGAATTTGGACCATAGTTCTATTTTAATTTGCAGAATGGAAGATAATATTGGTGGTGGCAGGAAAGGCAGGCAAGGAGATTCAGCTCTGCCAGTCAGATTTTTTTTTTCCAAAAGAAAACAAAAAGTGAATTTCCAAGATATTGCCTGGAGCATGTGTGGCCTCCCCCCTCCATCCCTTTTTGTAATCACAAATAATTTAATTTCACAGAATGGGTAAGGAAGAAAGTTACTGCTCCCTCCTTAAGTGTAAGAGTAGAAAATATCACTCTAGATTATGTTTTATTATTTAATTGAGAAATATCACAATATTAGGATTGATGTGAATTGTATCACTAATAGGATCCGGTCCGGTTGAAGTGATGACTGCTGCATTGTCTTGAGTTGTTTATGGTCTGAAATTTTAAGGTGCAAAATTGTTCTTCCAATGGATAGAATGTTTGTATAGGTTTAACTTCTTTTTTTCTTTTTTGTAAGGAAAAGAGAAAGGTATAAGGTGTTAAAACCACGTAGAAGGGTCTGCAAAACAGGGTACTTGAGGACAGCCCTTACCTCCAGTGTGAGCATTGAACTTAATGGGATGTACTTCAAAAAGCAGGGTTTTCCCCTCTATAGCCCTGTGGCCTTTTGAACCAGCCTGGCAAATTTTCTGCTTGGTTAGGCCTCTAGTTCTAATATCACACACCCCACCCCGCCTGATCCCTTCCTTCCCTTCTGATCCAATGTCCTTTAAGAGCTTGCTCTCTCTTTTTCTTTTTTCTTTTTCCATATTGTTGTGGTGGATGGCATTTCTTTGTGTGTGAATCTGAAGGGGGGCAGCTGGTGAACTCAGCCTCTTTTTCTAAGACCCTCCCCTTCTAAAAGATTTGCTGTTTTGGAGAAAGATTGGGGCTACTTTGGTGGTGTTTAGTAAAGGGAGCTGGTGCTTAGCATCATTTTCAGAAGCTAGGCTTTGTTGATGATCCGTGATGATCTGGTGCCCGTTTTTTTTGTTTTCTCGCCCATCTCCCCATGCAAAGTCCTCTTCTTGGCCTTCTTTAATTGAAGAAGGGAGAAGATCCCCCTGGACTTGGGGGGGGGCAACCCCACACAAAGGGTTCTCTTTCCCCCCCCCTCCCTTCCTTGTCTCCAAAGGCCTGCGAAGTAGCCTTGGAGGTTATAGATCCCCTGGGCATCACCTCTCCAAGGTCAGTTTTAAGGCCAGCTATTGGACTGAAAGTAGGGCCATGGCAGGCCAAATCTCTTCTCCAATTAGAACATCTCTTCTGCCTTCCGCTCCTGCCAATAAGAAGCTTCTAAGGTGGATCCACCTCTCTTTTGACCCACTCTGGAGAAAGGGCAGGCGGATAGGGCAGTTGAAGGAAAGTTTTCCTTAGCTTGCTGGCTGGCTTTGGGGCAAAAGCCAGGCACCCCCACCCCACCCCAGTGCCCACCCCCAAGAACTGACCCCGAACCCTGGAGAGTTGGGCAGAGATTCCTAAGGAGCTAGGGGTGGGGTGGGGGTTGAAATTGAGGGAAGCTTTTTTAAAAGGCTGACAAATAGGGGCAACCCTTTCTCTCCCCCAACCCATCCCTCAGGGCTCCTTTTGAACCGACCTTTGACGCCAAGGGGGAAATGAAGGCAGCAATTCTCCACTTGGGAAAGGAGGGAGACCAGAAGCAAAGGGTTAGAAGCAGCTTTAAACGGGATGCTTTAAAGCACTTCTATCCTCCTCCTCCTCCTCCTCCTCCTCCTCCTCCTCCATAGCATTGCTCAGGAAAAAGACCCCCTAATTTCTCACTCGTTCTTCCTCCCCAGACCCCCCCCCCATTCGGCTTCCCCCCTTCCCTTTGCCCCCCCCCAATAGTTCCCAGCATAAAGGAGGGGAGGGGGACGAGTCAAGAGACAGCTCGGCATCCCCTCCCGCTAAAGCGGAAGGGTCAGGGGAAGGGAGAAACCGGCTTAGCCGCCCACCCACCCACCCTCTCTCCCTGCGCGCCGCCTGGCGCTGAAGCGTTTCGAAGGCGCCTTCGCGGGCCACTTGACCCCCGTCAGCGTCCCTTCAGGAGCCGGCCTTGTGGGAGTCCCGAAGTGGAAAGCGATGGTGTGAACGCTCGGCCGGGGAAAGCGCCCCAACATGGCGTCTCCCGTCCCCCAAGGGCCTCGCCGAGAAAGAACCGACCGGAGGTCTGCTAAGGAAGCCGGCGGGAGAGCCGCTGCTCTGGCGAGGCCAAAAGCAAAGGTCAGCCTTCTCCCCCCACCCTTGCCCAACGGAGGCCGGGATCTTCCCCTTCCCCCGCGGGGGTGGGCAACACAGCAGGCCGTCTGCAGCCAACTCGGAGGCCAGGCCAGGCCCGGGCCAGGCCAGGCCAGTGAAGGCGGGATAGCGAGGCCTGGAAGCAGCTAAGGCGGCGGCGGCTGTTGCACGTTCGTTCGCTCGCTCGCTCGCCCCGGGTGGGAAAGGGGCCGGGGGCGTCCTTCTTCCCACCCTTCGGAGGGCTCACCCCGCGGCCAGAGAGCCGGCCTTTCCCCGTTTGGGAAGGCGCGCATAGCCCAAGCCACCAGCAACCCCACCCCGGGGGCCGAGCGGGTCGGTGGGGATGGTGGGAGGGAGGAAAGGGGGCTTAGGCTTTGGAGATGCCCTTCGCTCTTGGCTGGGACTTACTCTCCTGTATTGCTTCGGTTGTGTCGGGTATCTCCCCCCCCCGGGAAAGAAATTCCGGGCGAGGCTTTCTTTGCTCTGCTGAATCTCCAAAATCCAGGCTGAATTTGATGCGGTTTGGAGACCCTAAAACGTTCGGGATCTTGGTTTTTCTTACTACGGGCGGGCAGCGGGAGGAAAGAGGAAGCATCTGGCCGATAATTGGAAGGAAAGGGGTCTTTCTCTCCCTCCCCCCCCCACCCATCCACCGTTTCCAAATATTTAGCATCTTCTCTCTTTTAGGTTTCTGCGGGACGTGGGTGCCACCGCTGAAGCCTCTGGGCAGGCTTCGGCTTTTCGTAGCTTTCGATGGGAGGGCAAGAAGGATTGCCTTCAAGAGAGAGGGGGGCGAGAAGCTGGACCCTGGGCCTTGGGTGGTGGCTTTTTTAGGAGGGGAGGGTCAGGAACCCCGTTGCAAAGAAAGGGAGTTTTAGCTCAAGGCAGTGGTGTGCTTTAAAAAAAAAAAAAGCAGATGCCCAGACCAGGGTGGGGGGGGGATGATGGGTGGGTGGGGGATGATATCCCCGTCTCTGAAGGAAAGAGGCTCATTAGAAGGGTGTGAGACCTGTGTAGTCTCTTCAGAGAGAAGAATGAGGCTGGTCTCTCTCCCTCTTCCCCCTCTCACCCACCCACCCATACAATCCGCATTGTATCTTGTCTTGGTAGAATTGAACCCTTAGCAGCTCTTGGCGAAGTTGGTGGCCTCTTATTTAGGCTGAGATTTTGGACCAACTTACCTTACTTCCTCAGGGGCTGGGCTGCCCCCCCTCCTGCCCCACAAGATTACCCAAAACTGGGCAGCAGAACCAGCCCCCCCTCCATTTAAACCAGACAGTTCTCCTCAATTTTTTGTCTGTCCTCCCGCACCCCCCACCCCAACCGGGTCTCTTAAACCTCTCCCTGTGCAGATGTCCAGTGCAAGGCAGAAAAAACTCTGAGGCCTGATTTTTCCTCTCCCCCCCCCCTCCCCAAGAATCTTCTGCCCTGCAAACTTAAGGGTTGATCAAGTCGGCTGTTTTCTTTGGGGAGGGGGCTGGGGGGAAAAAGGTGATCACACCTTTTTTTCCCTTAGAGTTATTCTAGCAGAAGGCAGGCCGAGGGTGATCCGCCTAGACACCTTTGCCGTTGGAGGGAGAGATTTATTTAGAGATTTTCAAGCGGACAGGCTTGCTGGAAAGGGCGAGACCCTTAGCGGAAGATCTGTGTGACATTGGGGGGGAAGAGATAGCAAGTTGGGGGGGGATGCTCTTCCCTTCCCCATTTCCCCAAATACATGGAATAATGTGTGTGGGGGGGAAGCAGTTTTGAGATGGAGCGCTCTTGAATAAACAGCTTGCATCCTGATTGTAAATAACTTTCTGCTTAAGGAGGTGGCAAAGTCTGGACTGGCCCGCAACTTTCAGCCAAGGCCGGAGAGGCAGGCAGGCAGGCCTTGGGAACTTTGCAGGGGGACGGGTGTGTGTGTGTATGGGGGGGGGGAGCTTGGCTACGGAATGAGGCACGACCCAGTCTCTTCTTTAGAAGATCTCCCCTTAATACAAAACAGGTTTTTTTTTCTCCGTTGTCTATCATCCCGGCTCCTGGGGGGGGGGCGTTATAAATCCTTTGGCCCTTTTGATAAGGCGGTTGTCACAGTCCAGCCCAATTGTAAAACGGCCCCATTTAATACACCAGATGTGCCATTAAAATGTTATATATTTATATAGTGAGGGCGTGAAAGAACAGAATTCTCCCTCTTTTTGCCCCTTCTCCCCAGAATAATAATAATAATAATAATAATAAGTTTATAGTATTAATACAATGGAGAAATAGACTGCAGTACAAGGAACAATCTTCTTTAAGAAGATCCGGATTGAAGGAGGTTGAGTTCAGAGCAGGTATTTCAGAATTTGGGATGTAAAAAAGGGTATATGTGTGTGTTTCTGTGCTTGTGTACACACACACACACACACACACACCCACACACACACACACATATGAGTGTGATTGCCTGTGTGTATGTATGTGAATATATGTATGTTGGAGAAGTCACATATTTTCCGTCAAGGAAAGACGTTTTCAGCTGTAGTTACTTGAATATTATTATAGTAATATTATCTAATATTATATTACAGTATGAGTCTTAGGATTAAGCCTGTAAACCTATCAGTTTTTGTTCTGGGGCACAGATAATTATCCAAACAATGCTAC